TAGCACGTCCATTCCCTCACTGGCATTATAGCTGACTTCTTCAGAATTTTAGGGTAGAATGGAGACCATCTGAGACTTCCAGCCTTGTGGACTGAGCAACTACTGGATTCTTCCATTCACAGCCAGCCATTGTTGGATTAGCTGAACAGCAGCCTGTAAGCCATTCTAATAACTCCCCTTTCTATATATAGAGAGAGTTCATTCTATAAGTTCTGTGGCTTTAGAGAACCTCGAACAATACAAGGCTCTTTCGTGAGTCCATTAAATCTTAGGAATTGTCTCTAACACCTTTCTCCTTTGTCTTCCATACCCAACTGGAAAACTAATTATTCGGCTGTTTCTATTTGAGTGTGTGAAACTAAGGGACTGAATCCCAAACCTTGCACATACCAGGCAAGAACCCTGCCACTGCAGTATACCCTGTGCTGGTCTGAAGATGTCCCTTCTAGTTCTGGGCATGTAGACATTTGGTCCCTCGCTGGTGGTGATGTTTGGGAAGGTTGGGGGGTCGCAGCCTTGTTAAAGGAAGGATCCACCTGAGGCAGGCTTTGAGAATTTAAAGACTGAGCTCATTCTCTCTACTTCCTGTTTGTGTTCCAAGATGTAAGCTCTCAGTTTCCAGCTGCCATGCCTCCACTCTGCCATCATGGAACTATAAGAAATTCCTTCTTTTATAGGTTGCCTTAGTCACAGTGTCTTAGCATAGTAACAACAAAGAGCTAATGTGTATCCCCGGCTCCTGGGCAGGCACGTCACTCATCAGTGTTAGAGCGCTCACAACAGTTGATTTTGCTGGCACTGGTCACTGAGCCTTGGCCTTGCACGCCAGACAAGCGCTTTACCAAGAACAACTGCCCCACATCTCTGATTTTTCTCTCTAACTGTAAATCAGGTTCCTTTTTAGTTCAGTTCACGGTTTCTATTCAGTAATTCCCTCTTTCCCTAGTTCTCTGACAATATTAAAGCAAAAATAAAAAAATCCTTTTCTCCTACTCTATTTAAAAAACTATTATTATTATTTTTTTTCTCGAGACAAGGTTTCTTTGTAGCTTTGGTGTCTGTCCTGGAACTAGGTCTTGTAGACCAGGCTGACCTTGAACTCACAGAGATCCACCTGCCTCTGCCTCCCAAGTGCTGGGATTGAAGGCGTGTGAAACCACCGCCCGGCTTTAAAACTGTTTTTGTGATATGGATAATTAATATAAAATATAAAATACTGGATGTCAGACATGTGGTGCATACCTTTAATCCCAGCACTTGGAAGGCAGAGGCAGGTGGATCTCTGTGAGTTCAAGAAAAGCCTTGATCTACACAGTGAGTTCCAGGCCAGTATGGGATATAGAAAGAGATCTTATTTCAGAAAGAGAGAGAGACTGAGTCCTACAGTTGTAGAAATTGTCCAAAGCATAAAACTTCGGCCATTAAGATGGCTCTGAGAAGAAAGGCATTTGTTAGTTTAATTCCCAGAGCCCACAAAGTGGAAGGGGAGAGAGAGGCTTGAAGATCAGAAGTTCAAGGTCATCCTTGCTCCTAGAGTGAGTTTAATGCCAGCCTGAGGTAATGAGACCAGGTCTCAAACAAGACACTAGAAAGTCTATGTAAGGATTAAAGGCACCTACAACCATACCTGCCAGCTAGAGGGCAATCACAAAGACATACCAGGTGGAAGGAGAGCCCAACTGCTGAGAGCTGTCCTCTTGTCCCACTCCCCATATCCTGGGAAGCACGCATCACCTCACTCAAATAAATGAATTAACTGAAAACCCAGAAGTTCCACTAAAGAAACAAACAGGCCTGGGGAAAGGTCACTTGGTAGAGTGCCTGCCAGCCTGCGTAGCAGACACAGGACCTGAATTTGATATATAGCACCGTATGTGTAGCATACCTGTAATAGCTAAGAAGATGAGAGAAACAGGGCTTGCTAGGCACAGTGGTACACACTTTTAATCACAGCATTCGGAGGTAAAGGCAGGAAGATCTCTGAATTCAAGACCAGCTTGCTTTACAAAGTCAGACCCTGTCTCAAAAAAAAACACCAAAGAGAAAGAGAGAGAGAGAGAGAGAGAGAGAGAGAGAAAAAAAAAAAAAAAAAAAAAAAAAAAAAAAAAAAAAAAAAGGAAGAAAAAAGAAAAAACGAGAGAAATTTAATGACTAAAAATGGACAGTCATCCTTGACTACATAGTGAGTTCAGGACTACCTGGGACTCTGTGTCAAAATAAAGATGATGATGATCATACTTATGTATGAATGCGCTGCTTATAAAATGACTGAAACAAGCAGAAACTGCGTTTTGAGCCTTTTGCGTGTGGGACACTGGGATCCAGTGCAGGGCTTGGCTTGGGCTATGCAAGTGCTCTACCGCTGCATCCACACTTCCAGCTCTCGGCCCTTCTTGCAGGCTTCTCTAAGTTTCACATGCCCACAAAATCACATTTCTCACCATTTTAAAAGGAAGAGACTGAGATTCTGAGACTCAGCCACTTGGTCACAAGATGGCTCGCGGCGGTGCTGATTTCAGCCCCACTTCCAATCACGCTCAGCTGAGGCACAATTGTGTTCGTAAAGCATCATCTATACATCCATGCAGAGAACTGCTGTTACTATGCGTATTTGGCTTGTCATACATTTATGAACTAAAATCAACAAAGCCAGCCCTGTTAGAATTCTAACCTCAATACGGGATATCGAAAACAAAGGGCTTCACTTGCGATTTTCTCATTTTCCAACCGAAGTTGGGCAGAGAAGAGGAATTCATTTAGAATGTGCAGTTGGTGCTAACAACAGTCTCCAGTGTAGAAAGCCTTGCGTTAACATTTATAAAATGGAAGGGGCCCAAGTTGGCCAAAAGGAAGGACATGGAAATTCTGCCCCAGCCAGAACAATGGACATAGATTTGTCCAAACAAAGAACAGCGAAGGGAGGGAAGACAATTCATCCAGCCCTTGTTATGCTACTTTATGACTATTTTTCCAGGGGCCAGTTTCCTATTCACTTTAACAAAGAAAAAAAGATGAAACAAAAATAAATGTAACATTTTGTAAGTTTATATTACCCTTTGGTAGAAACAAATAAATTATTGTGTTTAAAGTCCAACCCTTGAAAACAGTCTGGAGTCATCTGATTACAGCAGCCGCGCTGCCCCTTCAGTGCTGTAGAAGGGATTTTCACCACTATTACACATCTTTGGTTCAACTGCAAAGCTTTAATAAAGTTGAAGCTAAAACTGTGGGGATCTAGCTCAGGGACAGAACACTCGCTTAGTGATCTACAGGTCCCTGAATTACACACACACACACAGTGGAAAAGGAGGAGCTGGCAGGCAGGGAACTTTCTTGCCATGCAAGAATGCCCAGCCTGATACAAACTGGGCATGTGGTGTATGCAAGTCAGTGGTCCCAGCAGTTGGCCAGTGGACACAGGAGGTTCAAGGCCAAGGCTGGGCGAGTGTGGCAGCACCCAAGAGGCAGAGGTCATCAGATCTCTGAGTTAGAGTTGGCCTGATCCACAGAAGCGATATCAAGGCCAGCCAAGGCTAAATAGATTCTCAAAACAAAACAAAAACCAAAAAAGTTCAAGGTTATCCTCATATCCTCAGCTACTTAGTAAGTCTGAAGCTAGACTATTCTACATGAGACCCAAACTCACCTCTGAGCCTCCCAAAGGAAAACAAATAGGTCTTTAAAAAATGTAGTTCTCTTTAGGCTATTGTTCTGACCTAATAACACCTTTCATGACATTACACAACAGAACCTTGGCTCTTAAACCGTGCACTTGGCCTTTGGATGGTATGTCAAAGAGCTATGTTGAGAAAGCTAGGAAACATCACTAATTGGAAAAGACGTTTAAAATGTAAGCCTTTAGTTTAAAGTACAAAGCTGGAAAAAAAAATAGGTCCTGAGAATAAACCATAAAGTAGAGCCCAGAGCACTCTTGATTTAAACACTGTGTGACTGGCACATACTTCTCCCTGGCTCACGGTGGGCACCTGGGCTTCCTGGCTCTCCGTATTTGTCAAGCCTCACTCAAGTGCTATTAAAAAGCACGGTCATGAACATGCATTTTTAATATACAGGATTTGGTTTGTTTTTGCGGATCAGCTGAACGTCCACACCAGCAAACAGTGTTTTTGTTCTGTTGCTTTATCTCAGTGTAGTTAGTTTCGTAGAGTTGACGGTGTTGTGGGCTTTAATTTCGACCTATGACGCACACACAACTCAGACCCACATTACCACGAAAAAACTGCCTAACAAACGGCTAACACACATTCACACATCGAAGGTCTCGGTTTTATTCGAACATCCCCTAAGTTCATACCCATTAGGGTTGGGGCTTCATTTTTAAAGCCTTAGAAACTACCACTGCTTTGCAACAGTAGTGCGTTTTCACGACATGACACAAGATTTTGAAGAACATGTTCTATACTTTCAGTTCGGTCTATACTTTCTGTTCTGGGAGGAGCCGGTGCCTCTGGCAGGTAGCACACAGCATCCAGTCACTTTGCAGCTGAATTTTAAAAGAGTGAATATACTGGCGGGGAGAGACCTTTGGCAATATGAAGGTCATATTAACGACCTACGACCTTCCACCTTCGAGGGGGGGGGGTCGGCGTCTGTGTGTGTTGGGAGAGGACGCAGGGTGGGAATTGAAAGAGTTCGTACTGATCCTCTACAGCACAAGAGATAAGCTTCTGGAGGTTCTGGAACATGTACAAAACAAAACCCACCCAGGTTCTCAGTAGAGTAGGAAGCACACCAGAATTCACTCAAAATCAGGGGGACCTGTTCATGGTGGAAGCCCCCTACCATACAGCCCCATGAGACTCAGCTCTTGCAATCCTTGTGTAAGTGCGCCCCTACTCAGCCCTGTGTCAGTTTCCCCAATAGTCACTGCTTCTACTCTCACCCACTTTGTGCCCCTCCGCTCCCCCACCTCGCCCCCCTCCGCCTCCCGCATCCTTCCCCGCTGAGTGGGCGCGCCACTCAAGCTCCCGAACACTCACACGTGGCCACAGCGGGTCCGGACCGGCTGATGTAGCACCTCCAGGCACACTGAGCAGTCGAAGGAGGTGATGGGCAGCTCGGGGTCCCGGCTGCGCTCCAGGGACCGCGAGGCGGCGGAGGCGGGCGCGGACTTGGAGCTGTCGCTGCTCAGGAGGGAGCCCATCGCTGCGCGCTAGCACCGCAGGCTGCCAGGAGCTCGGTGCGGGCTGCGGGCGGGGCGGGGGGGGGTCAGTTGTCCCTCCCGGGAGGAAGGAAGTCCCGGCCCAGCCGGGATCGCCGCCTCCTGGCTCGGCCAGCAGCGTCGCCGGGCCTCTTGGTGGAGCGCAAGCGGAGCGCGCGGCTGCCGCTTGCAAACGCTCTTCCGCGAGCGACCAGGCGCTGCAGAGGCTCGAGGTCCCTGGAGAGTGAAACCTGAACCTTCCACCCGGCGACTAAGAGTTCTGCAAAGTAGAGTTTGAGAACACCCACTGGAGACGGGATGACTCTATCTGGCCTCCAAGTTGGTATCTTAATAAGCCTCAGAGCCGACCTATGACCATTTCGGTGATTGACTCAATACTTCAATCAGGATGAGATGATAGCCCGGGGCAGTGGAAAGTTTCCTGCTCCAGAGTGCCACTTGGTGACTTAACAAATACAAAGCCAACAGTCTGGCAGCTGTGAGTTCGAGGCCGGCTGTGTTTCAAAAACACAAAAAAGCCAGACAGACATCGTGGTTTATGCCTTAAATTTCAGCACGTAGGACACTCAGGAAAGAGGATTATCCAAAGTTTAAGGGCAGCACTGGGCTATACAGTGAATTCCAGAACATTCAGGGCTATGGAATGAGTCCTTCTCAAGAAAACACCATTGTTTTAGATGTAGTTTAGTGGGGGTGTGCTGTCCACGCTGGATGAGGTCTGGGTTTGGTCCCCAGTACTGATGTAAATGAAAAAGTGAAGGATAAACTAAAGCTCGTACCTGCCTGTGGTGGTTACACCTGTAGTACCAGCGCTTGGGAGGCTGAGAATGGAGGGAAACATAGGTTGGAGAGTTATATATTAAAAGCAATTGCATGGACAAATATACAGTATGTTGTGGACTATAGATAATACTGCAAAATATGTAATGTATTAAAATTTCTGGTCTTCATCCAGTTTCTTCCAGTCTTTATGTTTTCCATTTGTTTTTGAGACTTTTAATTTTATTTTTTCTTTCTTCTCAAGACAGGGTCTCTTTGGATAGTCTGGCTGTCCTGAAACTTGCTTTGTAGACCATGCTGGCCTCAAACTCAAGGAGCTGCCTGTATTTGCCTCTGCTGGAATCAAAGGCATATACCACCATGCCCAGCTGACACTTTTAATTTTATTTGATATTGCTTAATTGATGCTGGGCCTTCTCTCTCAGGCAGACATTCTACCATTAAGCTGGGACTTTCTTTTTAGTTAGTTTTTGGTAAGTTTTTTTTTTTTTTTGGCTTAGTTTTTGGTTTTGGTTGTTGCTGTTTTGAAAATGGGTCTTACAATGTAGCAATAGCTGGCCTGGAGCTCAGACTGGCCTTGAGTTCCCAGAGATCTACCTGCCTCTTCCTCCTGAATACTGGAATTAAAGGAAAGCACCAATGTTGGCAGCCACTCTCAAATAAACACACAGAGATTTATATTATTCATAAATGCTTGGCCAATAGCTTAGGCTTATTACTAACTAGCTTTTCATTTAAGTTAGCCCATATTCCTTATTTACACTCTGCCACGTGGTGGTACCTTTATTATTATATCCTGTTCCTTTTGTGTCTGGCTGGCAACTCCATACTCTGCCCTTCTTCCTCTCCACATTCTGCTACTCTGGCTCTCCTGCCTAACATTATTCTGTTCATCTATTGGCCAGTCAGTGTCTTTATTAAACCAATCACAGCAACATATATTCAAACAGTGTAAAGGAATATTCCACAGCATAACCAACATGCCTGGCCTAGCCATAGGCTAATGAATAGGTTTACCCTATCAAGTGAAGGAGCAGAACAAACTCCATTTTAAGAAAGAACTCCATTTTAGACAGGACCTACTAAGGAGGTGAATGCAGCCCAGCAAAGTCATAAATATTCCCAAGAAACTGTGCCAGCCCTGGTCAAAGTGACCCACAAGGTAGGTATCTGATTAACCACTGTTTGGAAATTCCCCTAGACCCCAACCAACGAATTTGTAATCTTTTACCCAATCCTGAAACATCAATGCTTGTGCCACCCTAACTGTGGTTTTCCCCTCTAAAATCCCCTTACCTTGAAGCCTTGAGGCCCGTTCTCCCCCATCTGCTGTGGCGGTGTGTTGGATTACAGTCTGAGGTAGCTAACTTGTAATCAATAAATCCCAGTGTATTTGCATCCAATACCAGTTCTGTTGTGGTCTTGTTTGGGGATCCTGTGACACGGGCATAACACAAGTTATGTGTTCTCTCCTTTAGACCAGGCCTGAAATCCAATCAAAAATCAGTTGGTTAATCCCAGAACAGCCGTGCCACTATTACAACAGTGATAGGCAATCTTCGCATGTAGAATTTTGGTTAGAAGTCAATGGATGCCATGATCAGTGGAACCAACCAGGTGGAGTTAAGCTATGCTCTATCTCTGGCTCTACCCATTCTGCAGGCATTTAATGAGGGAGCCTGCTTTGTGTCAAACATATCACTAGTCTCTGGGGCAGGATAAGGAGTGTTCTGTTAGTTAGCATTAGCTGCCAACATGACCCCATCTAGGAAGTAACTGAGGGATTGTCTTTATCAGTTTGGTATCTGGGCTTGTGTGTGACAATGAGAAGTTGTCTTGGTTGTTTATTGATGTAGGAGAGCACATGGCAGGCAAAACCTCTCTCCAAGCAGGTGGTCCTGGGCTATATCAGGAAGTGACCTAAGCATGAGCCTGGAAGTGAGCCAGAAAACAGTGGTCCCCATGGTTCCTGCTTCAGGCTCCTGTCTTCACTTCCTTCCCTGACTTCCCTCAATAGTGGACTGTGACCTGGAGGTGAAGCCTAATAAATTTTTCCCTCCCATAGGTTGTTTTGGTTAGAATGTTTTCTCACAGCAACAAGAAGGAAACTAGGGTAAACTAAGGAGTGGGCAGCTACCGGTTTTGGCCACTGAGAGCCTCTTTCCCTTCACTGTCCTCCTCCTCTTTGGGTGGATTCTTTGCTTCACCTCTGATTTTACGAGACACTTTCGGCTGGTTACTGTGGACTGCGGTGGTAAAGGCAATGCAGTGTGTGTCTATGTACATTTCCATGACACACAGTGACTTTGGAGTGTTGTCCCCTTCCACGGAGTCCCCAGCTTTCCAGCACCTCCCTCATAGCCGATGCACTTCCTCTCCATCTCCTGCCTTTGCAGCCCACATTTTACCAACACTTCCTTTTTCTCTTGCATAATCTATTCAGTTAATCCTGTGGTTCACACCAAAGTTGACAGGTCTTTCCTGTCCTCAAGGCTTTCATTTCTGATAGATAAGCTGCCTAAGAGAATAACATCTTAGCTGGGCGGTGATGCACACCTTTAGTTCCAGCACTCAGGAGGCAGATCTCTGTAAGACCGTGGCCAGCCTGGTCTACAGCCGGGGATACAGAGAAACCCTGTCTCGAAACAGCCCCCTCCCCAAAAATTAAAGAAAACTTTCATAATACAGAATATCATCAGTGACCAGAATCTATGAAATGAATGAGGATGCTGACATCACCCAGAGTGTAAAAGGAAGGTGAGCACAAGAAAGAACACTCTGGAACTGTGTTCTTTTTAGGGTTGCGGCTCAGTTGGTAGAGCTCCAGGGAACTCTGAGTTCCGGCACAGCAGAAACTGAGTGTGGCAGTGCACACCTGTAATCCCAGCTTGGGGAGGTGGAGGCAGGAGGATCCAAAATTCAAGGTCTTTCTCAGCTATGTAGCAAATTTGAGGCCTGCCTGCGTGACACACCTCTAGGCCTATCTTAAAAAATTACAAATGCCAGCATGGTATTGAAGGCCTTTAACCCCAGCACTTCGTAGGCAGAGGCAGGTGGATTTCTGTATGTTTGAGGATAGCCTTGTCTATATACCAAGTTCCAGAACAAACAGGGTTACATAGACAAACCCTGTCTCAAAAAGAAAAATAGAAAATAAAAAAGGAAGAAAAGATCAAAATAGAAAACAGCATTTCATGGTTAGTCATGATGGAGCACACTTAATCTCAGCACTCAGGGGACAGAGGTAGGAAATTCTCTCAGAATAGAGGCCTGTCTACATAGGGAGTTTCAGGACAACCAGGGCTATACAGTGAGTCTTCTAGGAAGAGGAGGAGGAGGAAGATGTGAGGAGAGAAGATATTCTCAATTCAAATGAAGGAAAATCAAAGCACTCCAGACAGACGGGGATGACTATAATGTGGTAGGCAGAGACAAGGGGGCAGGAAGCCCCAAGCTCTGGTTCAGAAAGCTGCATTCAGATCCCTGCTGCTAGAATTTTCAGCACACAGCACCCACCACAGAGGAAACTAGAGACCAGGAGGTGTGAACATGAAAGTGGCCCTGGTTAGGTATTTTCAGTTGGCTTTATAGAATCGATTGAGCAAGTCAGTGGCATGGCCACACAGACAGTTTTGTCAAGTCATTCTGTCCTCAAAGTGTCTTGCATCATACTCACCTGGAAGCCTGTTGAAACCGTTCGATGCCAAGATATCAAATTTCAGTGTCTGGGTGAGTTATGAAAGCTACACTTTAGCTGGGTGTGGTGGTGCCCTCAGGAAGCAAACACAGGAATATCACTGAGTATATGATGAGGCCAGCTTGGGGTACACAGAAAGACCTCAGAAAGGTAAAGGAAACACTAGCAAATCAAAACTAAAACCAAACCAAACCAGACAACCAACCAGACAAAATCCTTAAAATCCCCAGCTGGCTAGCATGCGGGGCTCAGTAGACCATTCCTTGAGAAGCCGTTCAGTGGCTTCCCCCACAGCAGCCTCTGTAAGTCACTGCAGCAATAGCAGACCTGTCAGGTGGTGGAGAGGTGCTTGCTTTTATTCTGACACCACTGGGTGACTTCATGCTGGCTAGTCACTCAGGCCCTGAAACAAGGGCATCTACAGGCTATGGTGATTACTTAGTAAATTCTCACCTGTAAGTCCTACTGGGCATAATAATGATTGAAGCATCTGAGATGTGATCTTGAGCAGTATATAGCACCTTCACAATGATAAAATGAAAAATAATTTTCTTCTTTAGGCAATACTCGGGGATGGAAACGAGGGCCACACATGCTAGCCATATGCTCTGTACTAAGCTGTCTTCAGAGTTCTATTTATTATTATTATTAGTTACTTTTACAGTTGTTTATTTTTTAAATGTCTACTTGTCAGGGGAGAGGTGCTCATGAGCCATGGTGTACATGTGGAGGTCAGAGAACAACTCGTGGGAGTCGGTTCTCTCTTTCCACTTAGATTGGCAGCAAGCTCCTTTCTCACTTAACTACCTCGCTGGCCCCATTGCGCTCTCCTCAAAGCAAGAATGACATCATCCCAAAT